GGCTACCATAAACTAGTTTCAAAACCCGTACACAAATTTTGTCGCACATATAGATATGTAGCCACAACGCAAGGAAAAAAGATAATGACAATATAGTGTTCTGAGGAGATGTTATGGATCTGGAATCCTACTTTTCTGGACTCTCCTGTTACTAAGCCTCTAGTCCGTCATTAGGAACTAATGGTTCGCCTAAAAGTTGCCCAAAACGTGATCAGTACTTTGTGCGGTCTGACCAACCCCTCCCCCCCGCCTCCTTATATATTAACAATGTAAGTAAAAATAATAACGGAGTTTATCAAATAATAACAAAATGTCCTTCAAATAAGCAAAATGTCCATGAGAGTGGCGGAGACTAGCTTTAAGCTATTGTACTCAATCACCAGACAACGAAAACAAAAAAATATACAGGGTGTTGATTTGAAGACCTCCCACCACGGCTTTATCGAGAACCACTGATTAAAAGAAAAAACGCCGAGACACGTCAACAGATTTGAAAAGGGGGACAACTCTTTAGCCATAAATTACTCCATTCCCTTTCACTCTCTGGTCCCCAGGATAATACCCATAAAAATTCTAAATGGCAAGCAGTACCGAGTAACGGCTTGTTTGAAAGGTCTTTCAAAGTCCTTCATTTTGACGTTTGATTTTTTAAAATCGGTCGATCCATTTTCAAGAAAGTTAGAAAAATCGTTCGAAAATATCACTTTTTATTGCAATAAGTGTTTAAAATGTTGCCCCTTATTGGCCAAGTAATGATATAAGCAATGTTCAAATTCCAGATGGACATTTTCAAAAGCATGTCGTGTGATATCATGGCAGCCTTCGAAGATGCGTTGACGAAGTTCATCCATACTTTCAGGTTGGGGAGCAAACACAATAGGTTTCAAATGGCCTCAGAGAAAAAAAGGCTGATGGCGTAAAATCTGGACACCTAGCAGGCCATTCTATAGGCCCTCTTCGCCCTATCCATTTATCTGGAAACTCGTCGTCTAACCATTGCGAACTGGAAGAACCTAGTGAGGAGCCACGCCGTCTTGCTGGAAATATATTCCAGCCTCAGCAAGTATGTGGTTTTCATTCTTTTCGATTTCGAACATATACAAATAAATGTATCCTTTCAAATTTCCATCAATAAACAATGGTCCAATCACTTTGTTTCGTAAATGTCTGCCCATACATTAATTTTTTTGGGGGTAATGGGTATGCCCTTCTACAAAAGCATGAGTATTTTCATTGCTCCAAAACCTGCAGTTATGCTTATTAACAAATCCATTTAGATAAAATGTGCATTCCTCACTGAAGCAGATATTCTTTACATGAATGGTTTTATTATTAAAACCGCTCAAGGTTTAATCCAAAACTCTCCGACGATCTCGTTTTTTAGTAGCAACAGATCCAGTTTGAGTAAATTTAGTAGCAACGTCCAAAACATACCTATGTGAAGTTATCTTTCCCGGATGTCTGGCGTAAAAAGTAACGGCAGTTTGCCGAGCACGTTGATTATGAGCACCATAAACTAGAATCATTTCCACTCTTTCGGCTAGTGTGCAAACCATTTTGGAAGTAAAATCTGAATCAATAAATTAATTTTCGCTATCCCAATATTGTCACAAAGGTAACAGCAAATTAAATTCTTTCTTTCCCCTAGCAATAAATAACCAAACAGGTATAACAATAAATACAGTTCATCCAGGATATCTATGTTGATGAAAAGAATGCGGGAAATTCGGGTTGTTATTTGGTTGTTGCCACGTCTAATCTTCCGAATTGCTGTTTATGTTGGTAGTTTCCGTTTTAAATTATAAACGATTTGTAGATTTGGCAAGCCCTAACGGGCAAGATTTTGAACACTTATTGAAATGAAAAGTGATATTTTCGTGTGTTTTTGGTTTCTATCTGAACAATTTACGTTAAATAAAGATTTTTCTAATTTTCTCGAAAACGAATCGACTTATTTTGAAAAATCAAACGCCAAAATAAAGGACTTCGAAAGACCTCTGAAACAGGCTATTACTCGACACCCCTTGTCATTTAAAATTTTTAAGGGAATGACCTCGGGGGGCCTACGGTGAAAAGCGGTGAAGTAGTTTTTGGTTTAAAAGTTGTACCCCTTGACAAATCTGTTGACATGTATCGGCGTTTTTTCTTTTAACCAGTGGTTTTCGATGAATCCGTGGTGGAAAGCTTTCAAATGAACACCCTGTATACAAGAAGGCAGCGCGGAATTATCAAAACCATCATACAAAAAACACAATTGCGCTAAAGAAATGAAGATACAATAAAGCATAGCAGAATGGTAATACGTAACACGTATGATAAAGTAATATACGCATCTGCTAGACATGAATCCTGCGACCTACGGCACCGTGTACGATAATGTACGATAGTTTCAACTTAGTTGGACGATTATTCCCAGCAACAAACCTGACAACGCTGCCAGCAACTCACCTATCGGCATATTGTCTTTCGCTGTCAAAGAAATACTTAGAAACAGAGGAACATCAAGCCGAGTATATATATCGAGCTGTCTGACTTGAACGACACTCTTCCGTTAAACGTTGAACTGTATTGTCGGAAACAGAATAGACAAAAGCGCCGGAGCGACTGATTTTCATCCGGTTTAATGGCAGCAGAGTTCCAGCTTACAGAATTGGAAATTTATTTTTGTTTCCATTTCGGGAGGAGAAACTTGGAGGACGTGTCGCAGCTGCGACCGTTCAACGGAAATTCCGGTAATGTGACTCGAGGCCTGATGCTGCCGCTGGTGGGTGGATGGTGAATGGTGGCTGGCATCGATGCCAAAATACAAATGCTGCATTAGCAACACTAAAATCCGATTTCCGTCTCTGCCCATTATTGGCACGGCAACTGATGCAATTTACGGAGTCAAATTATATCAGCTGGTACACAGTGCGAAGGTTTAGGTCATAACAATAATTATGAAGTTCTGCCACATGATGCCGCTACATTTTGACGTGACAGACAGACATGTCGGACTCCGTTTTGTCAGTTATCCCAGATGTAATAAGATTTTATCCTGAGTTGCGTTTGGAAACAAGCAATCAAAGATCGTTATAACTAGCATCGTTTGTTAGAAAAGAAAAAGAATTTTAGACAGATGAAGGGTACCGGGGAAAAACGGCATTAGTCCATTATTTGGCTAAATTGAGCTTTCAGTTTATTTTGGTGGCATTTTCCGGATGCTATCTTGTAATCAGCTTCTAAAATTGTAAAAAGGGCTTAGGTTCACAAAACAACAGCTATAGGATTTCCTGTTCAGGGGAAGATTGGCATGAGTCCCTCCGAGTGTATGGAAAAACGGCATCAGTCCATATGGAAAGGCGGCTTTGCATTGGTCGTACCTACCTGAAAATATAAATATCGCAAAATTACACAAAATGTATTGGCAATGTTGAAAACAAATATTTCCTATGAATCCTTCCGAGAAATTTTTGAAAACAACTTCAATATATCGTTCGGTTATCCACGAAAAGATACTTGTAGTACGTGTGATTCCTTAAAAGCTGATGTATCTTCACTTACCGCTATCTTAAATTCCCACACGGAACAAACTGGGCAGTCAGCATGCAATAATTTGGAGAAAAAGATACTTGAGAAGACACTACATCAAAGAAGGAGTGAGCGATTTTACAGTACTGAATCTTAACCTCACTCTTTAGTAAACTTAAATTCAAAGTTTTACAATAATACGTACAGTGTTCTCACTACAGTGAATTTTTAAGTGTCACCAACTCATTAGAAAAATAGAACTCAACCGAGAAAATTTTCGCGCCATAATTTATTTCAACTTTCAGAGACAATTATCGCAACAAGAATGCCTTGCTGAGTTACTGCCTGTTTTCGTCAACGAAGCTCCACATCAGTCGACAATTTAACGTTGGTATGGAGAACTCAAACGTGGACGGGTGAGTCTTAGCGACGATCCCAGGGTGGGTGCACCAAAAACTGCAGTCACCCAGGAAAACGTCGATGCTGTGCGCAAACTCATCATTGAAGATAGACATGTGACATATCGCGAGATTGAGGCGTCCTTGAAGATCTCAAAGACCCCAATTCACAAAATTTTAAATGAAGGATTAGGAATAAGAAAATTAGTTTCTCGTTGACTGAAGAACAGAAAGCAGCCAGGGCTAATTGGTGTCAAACGACGCTTGACAGTTTCAATTCCCGAAACTCAAAAAATGTGTACAGTATTGTTAGTGGTGATGAATCGTGGATCTACTGTTATGAACCAGAAAATAAACAATAGTCGGCTGTTTGGGTGTTCCAAGGTGAAGAAAAGCCAACAAAAGTCATCCGTTCTCGAAGTGTTTCGAAAAAGATGGTCGCGACATTTGTGTCAAAAGCGGGTTATATTGCAACAATTCCTCTTAATGAGCATAGAACCACCATTTGCTTGCCAAAAGTCATCACCGAGCTTCGAAAAATCAACCCCGAAAGAAGAATCATCCTCCACCAAGACAATGCAAGCTCGCGCACACAGCCCACAAAACAAGGCAGTATTTAACGGAAGAAAACGTGGAATTACTGGACTATGCTCCATATAGTCCCGATCTAAGTCCTAACGATTTCTTTATTTTTGCAAAAATTAAAAACAGACTCCGTGGTCAGAGGTTCCAGTCACCAGAAGAAGCAGTTGACGCATTCAAAAATGCCGTTTTGGATATGCCAGCAAACGAGTGGAATCAGTGCTTCGAAAATTGGTTCGAACGCATGTAGATTTGTATTAATCTTGGTGGAGAATACTTCGAAAAACAATAAAGTCATTTAAAGCTACCTACCGTGTTGTTTTATTTCCATATGCAAAACTTAAATGACATTCCTCAAACATACGCCGCAGGTTAGACCCTTTGAGAATAGAGTAAGGTACACACATGTAAAACAGATACATTAAATGGAGCAAGTTAGTTAAACAGGCCCATGCAGCTTTTCCCTTTCCGGAATCCGTCTATCCAAAGTCCCAGATGCTGGTTTCTTACCCATTCCTTGACTTGGTTCTTGTATTGCTTTTTGGCACCTCCGAGGTAGGTTCTGGGCTTGTATAAGATGTGAATGTGCATTTATTTCTCGCGTTATCTGTATATCCTGGAACTCACATCAGAACTTCTTTTTAAATACAAATCTGGGAGCTATGTGGACCTTCTTCGCATCGAGTGTATCACTACCCACAAGTTACCTTATTTGGTATGTCCAAGGTCCTCATATCTTCCCTTCGTCTGTGACTGTAGCCTGTAGTAACCCATTCTTGCCGTCCTTATTAGTACATAATGTATCTGTGGTAGATCCAGCATGGTTTCAAGTGCTGCAGTTGGAGCACTCTCCATTGCATCCGTTATCGACAGGCAAGCAAGGATTTGTACCTTGCTTAATCCCGCAGGGGCAGCGCGTTGTCTCATCTTTGGCCGCCATACCAGAAATGCATAAGTTATTATGGGTTTTTCCACTATTGGTCCATGCTATGCAAATAGTCCCTGAGCATATTTTCCTTGCCCTACCGATAGTACCGACTATCTGGCAACGTTGCTCCACCTATTTCTCACCGCTCGATGAATTCAGTCGTTAGACGCGGTAGCGTGGCAGTGACGGATACTCATGGGGGAGACTGTGACACCGATCAACGCAGATTGAGATGTGTTTCGAAGGTATTTCTCTATCAAGTTTTAGGAGAAAATGTATGGAAGATCTATTATTTGAAATCGACCAGGGGCATATAATTATTGGGACTGCGTATAAATGAACTATCTTCATAAAATTGAGATATATGTAACCACGGCCAACACCCAATTTTCAACACAAACATTTGTCTGTAAATTGTCAGGAGCTTCTGAAACGTCAAGAAATGAAGTTTGAGCGTCTTTTTAACTTTTTCGCTCTTAGCTCCACCACCACTAGACCGATTTTAAAAAACTACAAATGTTGTTCATCTAGGGTATTTGAACTGCTTGGACGCCACATTGAAAATTGGGATTCCAGAATGTATGAAATTGACCGCTATAATAATGACATTTGAAGAAATACGAGTAATACTCAAAAACTAAATGTCAAGAATCTCCTTTGTTCAATAAATGATATAATCTGATATTGTCGATAACAATGGTGAACAAAATTAAGATAATTTATTGTGACATGGACAAAACAAGGTGGTTATCATGTAAGACGTACCCAAAATGCCGCAAATAGCATTCGATTTTTTCTATTACCCACGGCTTTCTTGAAATAAGGCATTTTATTTGCTGCTTATTCTCGTAAAATATAAGGATATGTGTATAAGAGTACTAATAACTCGAATAAACATTATTCTCAGAATGTTGTTGTCGATGTTTTACGGCGATAGGTTGCTCCTGAAGTATCTCTTAACAATGTCCAGCGATAATCAGCAAGCAAATTGACACTCCATTTGCCTTGATACCGTTTTTCGATTGCAGAAATGTCTTGGTAAAACCATTCACCATGTTAATCGCTCAATGCACATAAACTTTCCGTAAAAAATCGAGATCACAATCCAAAAAGTGAATTTTTAGAGACATATTACATCCCATTCCTTTGTAAGCATTAATTAGTTTACTCACAAATATGTATGCCCTCTTTAACTTTTGCCTTACTAAGTCTCGGCAATGATTGTTTTAAATGCAGAAACCCTCTTCCATTTCGATACATAGCTTTCACAAAATTTTTCATCAGTCCCAACTTAATACGCAAAGGTGGAAGCAACACGTTTTTGGGATCAACTAGTGGTTCGTGAGCAATGTTTTTGAAGATAACTGACGTAGTGGCCACTCCTTCTGTTCATAATGACGATCTCGTGCACCACTGTCCTATTCACAAAGAAAACAACAATATTTGGTATATCCCAGTTGCATTCCAAGACGGACCTTTAAATCTGCACGTATGGCCCATCCATATTCATTATAACGGATAAGCTCTAACAGAACTAGCATATTTTCATATGATTGCTTCATATGAACTGCGTGCGCTATAGGTACAGATGGATATTTATTTATTGTGTACCAATACTGCTTTTAAACTAAGCTTAGAGTAATCAGTAAGTAGGCGCCAATCATTTGTATCATGTTTCTGTCCTAACGCGTCAAACAAATTGTTGACATCGGAGCAATATATCAACTCCCTTTCTTGACGGAAACAGTGTGTGAGGTCTTGTTGCCGTTTTCGGTAAAAAGTAATGTTAACATCACCGTGGAGAAGATTCCATCCTAAAAGTTCTGACTGAGATTTAGACAGATTTGATTCTCGAACTAAGTCATTCAGTTCGCCCTGTGTGATCAAATGCGGCGCTGTTGAACATCCTGGCAGATCAAACGAAGGATCGGAAATTTGTACGCTTTCTGTACCATCACTTTCAGAATCGGTGGATTCGACTTTTTCATACAAAGAACATCTCAGTACTCTTCAACACAGAAAACGTAACTGACTCGGCTGCTATTAGTCTACCTATAAACGCAATATGCTCTCTAAACATAGAGCTCGCATATAATAAGCACGAATAGAGAAGTCTTAACATTATATATGTGCGTCATCGCATAAATGCCGAGAAATGCAGCAATATGAGATGTTACGTATTGTAATTCATAAAAGTAGATGGTACCGAATATCTGTGGGTGATAGAAAAATTCTGTTTTTCGATTTGATTTGAGGGTCTCAAAATACATAAGATACACATAAAAATTGTCATTTCAAATCCTGTGTTTATTGGTGTAATTTTTTTTTAAAAATACGTCTAAATAAATGAAATGGCCTTAAAGTCAGATCAACCAGATACTAGTACTTAGTAACAGGTTCGACATCAGTGTAGGGCAATATCGAGAAAAGTGAAAACATGCAGGAGCTCAATGACTGCTGGTTGATTAGTTGCTTGACGACTCATTGGAATCACGTACAAAACTTCTGGTATGGGAACTGTTTTGAAGTTATGACTTTAATACGTCACTGTGCACTGTAACCTCTACCTCTGGCACACATGATGACAGAAAAAAGCACACTGCACTTCCCAGCAAAACACTATTAACTAACAGTAACTGGTGTAAAAGTGCATACCAGTGGAAAACGTTTCCAGGCAAGCTATTATTTCTATCAACAAAGTCTCCTCAACTAAGTTAGTTACTAGTGATAAGACGAGTGCATAAATTGGGAGCATCTTGCGTATCTCGAACATCATGGCCTAATTAGCGAGAGGCAGTATAGCACCAGCTATCAACAGAGAATATTTCAGCATGCAATTGTGTTAAACTTTTCCAATCATAAGGTGCCGTTGATCTTGATATCAGGACCGGCCTCAGCATGCTGCGCTCTTATGCAAACTTCCATCTTATGGCCTTCCAAAGACGCTTTGGCATCCGTAGTAATTCAGAGTTTCGCTTCATCGTCTCTCAAGGCCAACGCGAGTGTGAGTGCCAAGCCGATATCTACCGGTCAGCTAGAGAGAAAAATATCAGCAGCCATCTCCTCTCTGATGGGTGATTTGGAGGTTACCACTGCTTGGAGACCCGACAATCTAGTACAGTTGAACCTTCCCTAACGCCCTAGCTCTCATTCGGTTCCAATGTCAGTTTTACCAATGAGCTGTCTGTTTCGGCCGGATCATCAAGAACTTGACACACGTAACCTCTTTACTATGTACATGGACCAGGTAAGACCTAGCTTCTAGTACTGTTCACATGTTTGGGGTGTTGTAGACCCTCCGGATTCATACTCGATGCTCTTCAGAGAAAAGCTGTCCAAGTGATCGATGACACCTATCTCGTTGCTCCGGTATTTAGGTTTCTGATTTTGCAACGTAGAACTCTAATGGCGATGAAACTGTCGTCAGATGTTGGCATTTCACAAAATATATTGAGTCTTAATAAAGCGAGATATCTTTTTCAACTACCTAGTGAACTTATTACGAGTGTAGGGTGAAAGGGTTCTCGGTCTGACAAAGAAATAGTGCGATTTTCAGTTGAGAAATGAATCAACTTGATCCAACGTTTCTTCAACATTAGGATTACCTATCTGAAGTAGAAGTCTGAAAACCTGTCGATATATTCATCTACAGTCCTCTCAATTTTTCCATCGGAGCAAAAACGCTTTCCAAAAATAAATTTCTTCAAATCTGGAAACATGGAAGTCTTAGGTACCAAATCAAGTGAATGGCGAATGGTTGTGCAAGTCATAATCCAAATCTTGTAATTTCCACATTGTTATCACACATTTGTAAGGAGGTGCTTTGTTATGATGCAAAAAGACCTTCTTCTCTTCAAGGCAGGCCTGTTTTCCTGAATGTTGGCATACCGTTTATCAAGAAGGTGGGAACAACATTCGCCTATAATTGTTGCAGGCGTTTTTCAAAATAATCGTGCAACAGAATCCCTTTCGTAACCCAAAACACACTGGTCTTTGTGGTAGATTCAATCGACTTTTGTCCTTTGGCGCTGAAACTTCAGTTTTCACCCACTGCTTCGACTGTTGATGATCAGTGAACCCATCTCTCGTCCATGGAAACAAACGGATAGCTGCATAAAATAGGTCGGATCTCCATTAAATTGGACCAAACATTGATCTTGAACCTTTTTTCCTTTATCCCCTATCCCACTCACCTTCACATGCCTATCGTTTAACACAGTATCATAGACCTTTTCGGTGGTTTCAGGGGCAGTTTTTCTTCACATCATCTTTAAGGGACATGTGACAACCTTTAATTTTAGCTGCGTACTTTTTAGAAGTTGAAATCGAAAGAGCAGAGCACCGTGAACTTATGTCAACCTTTAGATAGTACTTCCTTAGGGATTAATCCATCCAACATGAAGAAATTGATGGCAGCACGATATTCAAGTTTATCCATGTTAATGAAAGCCATGTAAAACGCGTTTACTCCAAAAATTCATATAGACAAGCTAGAACAACTGGAAACTGCTTACATGAACAAATGGCATGCGCACCGATGCAGAAATTGTAGTTTCGCTAATTAAAGAACAATTTTATTTATACTTGAACCACCACGAAGGCATAAGGTATAAACACCGATGGGTACAGTGGGGCTACAGATGGGCACAAGAGAAAGGGGAAGGGGGCGGGACGCCATGCGACTCTAT